TCGAGGGTTTCCACAAGAAAGGTGTTGTGGGGGGTGTCCTTGTCGTTTGGGGCGTACCCCGCTTCCTCGGCGTTCAACTCGAACGCCTGGATGAAGTCGGCCAGGGGAGTCTTTCCCTGCTGGGTTGTCGTAAGGTGCATGTGCGCCGTCTGCTTGACGTTCTTGTCCTGGAACGTCGCTTCTAGATCCGAGATCAGATCATCGAAGTGGTAGAGGCTGTCAAGCCCCTCGCGCAGCATGCGCTTTCGCCAATTACGTGCCCAGTTTATGGCTGGACACGAGGCACCATCGGTCCGACCCAATAACGAGAGGGTGAACGTGATCTTCTTCTTTTCGGAGTCAAACTCCGAGTCGTACGCCCATAGGTAATTAAGGAGGGCGTCGAGGAAGGTTTCCCACTTGCTCTTATCAGAGCCATCGAAAGTGGGGGGGAGGTGGGCGAGGGTGATCCGAGAGGACCTAGTCTCTCTCGGGGCAGGGTCGAGGTCCATAGCGGGCATGTAAGAGGTGGTGCCCTGGTTCTAGTCTTCGTCGGCCATTGGTAAGATGAGCGACGGGCAAGGTGGTTGGTAAGGTAGTTGGGCGAGGGCGGCGTAAAGTCGATCGAACGGGGTGAAGGTAGGAAGTTCGGCGGAACAGTATAAGGAAGTCGACGGGGATGAGGTTCCCGATGAAGAGGAGGTGGATGGGGCGCAGAAGGTCACTGTGTTGGTACAAATCCGCACTCAGCGGTTGGTGAAATTGCAACGGTCTCTTGCGACAGAACTACCCCGGGTCTTCTACAACACCCCCGGCGATAGCGAGGCAGTCTTCCCCGAAGGTCCGGCTGGCACTCCTGCGACTGCTATGTGGCTTGGGACGGACTCAACATTTCCCATGGCCTAGTGTCTGTCTGTTCGGTAAACCGAAAACAACTGGTGCTGCACTTGTTTAGACTCGCTGTGGACGAGGTAGGGAATCGGCGGGTGGGGAATAGGGAAAATGGAACTTCAAATACAAGAAGCCAAGTAGAGGGTAAGAAACCAAGTAGTGGATAGAGGGATGGGGGGAAAAGGAAAGGAGGTCGGAGGGTAGGGGCGGTACGAAGGTATGAAGGGTAGTCTTCTATTATGTCACGCTCAAGAACTCTGAAGACGCCCTAGGGGAGCACAATGCCGTCTCTCGGTAAGAGGAGTATCTCGAAGGATGATGGAATCAAAGACTAAGGAATACAAGCGACTAGCTACACTACTTATACTGTTCAACTGTGGCTATGTAACTAGTGCTAATAATATATACAATAGAGCGTCCATGTGCTACAAGCACCATAACCATGTGTTCTGAGTAATAAACATGCCAGAACCGTGTGTTCTGAGTAAGAAACATCCTGAAGCCATGTGTTCTGAGTAATGCTCATGCATACTCCTCATGTCCGCAGCATGACACCTGTCAGCTGTCCGATCACCAATCCGTCGTGCTTCATCGGCATGTTCCTGTGGGAACCCGATCCCTGGCTGTCCGATCACTGATGACTCAAGCATAGCCTTGGTGTTTTAATAGACGAGCGCTTGATGAGGCGCTTAGATAAGGCGTTGTCGCGATTAGATAGTGTCTAAATTGTGACAGCCTACTAAGTTAACTGAAGAAAAAAAAGGTTTGAACAAGTATATCTGGAACAAAGCAAATGGAATCTGACGTGGGCACTCGCGCTCGGAAGAATGAAAGTGGAGCTAAATAAGAAGAGAAGAGAAGGGGTGAAGGAGTGAAGTCATCAATAATATTTAGCAGTGGCTTCGAGATGAGATTCGAGAAGGTGGGTCGGACCTGGCGCAGACTATCTATTCTATTTTATCAGTGACAAGGGAAAGCGAAAATCACGTAGCACGCGAATCACCGTTGACCAAGCACATGGAAGGAGGAGTCAATTTATCATTGTAATGGGAGCTTTTGGAGTAAATAAATGCTTGTACCGGAGAGTAGGTGTGAGTTCTGGATTCGATAAGGCGAGAACTCAACACGCCCACGAACCAAATTCAACATCTACACTGACAACAGTACTGGAGCTCAGAGACAGGTGAGAGCGCAGGTATATATTGAGGAACATTGGATTCGTGGAGCGGTGAGTCAGAAGCCTATGAAGCCGGCGTGGTGAAATAAAATGAGCTTGTCTTAAGATCTGGTAGGTTTGACTGCCACCAGATCTTTAAGGTTCACATGTCTTTCAGTTCTGCTAATGTAGTGTATATGCTGTACCATGGGCCTGCAATGTGATGTTACAATAGAACTTGAAGTCACTCTGAACTTAAAGTTCCCATTTGATTTAAGTCTTACAGGACTGGAGCTTTTCTTAAGTTCTGGCAGTCTTAAGTAATTACTTAACTTCTACTCAAAACCCAGTGAGTACTTCAGAGCAGCCTGACCCAAGTTCCTTGCCACTGAACAGGGACAAGGGAAATGGGAGTTTTCAAGGGCCTTATATGTGTATGATCAGCAGGGCCACATGTGCCACTGTGCATGGTGTGTCAGCTTCCATTTTAGGACACAATAGTGGTTATTGTGTGCCGGAGCACTATAGTGCTGCCATTTTGGGGATGAACAATGGAGTATTGAAGCAGGTGGCTTCATAGGTGGCATGGTAGCCAGGATGCATATATAAGACCTTGAAAACTCCTTCTTCCCTTGTTCCTATTCAGGGACCCAGTGTACCATCTCTAAGGAGGTCCTAGGATACAACTTTGCAGTACTTGATTGAAGTTAGAATTTAAGTTCCATGCAGACTTGAGTCTTAAGTATCAAATAAACTGAACTAAACTGAAATTTGGAACAGAAGCTCAGACAGACATTATAAGTTCAGAGTAACTTTGGTTCAGAGTGACTCCAAGTTCTATTGTAACATCACATTACAAGCCCATGGTATGGCGGAATACACTACATTAGCAGAACTGAAAGACATGCGAAACTTCAAGATCTGGTGGCGGTCGAACCTCCCAGATCTTAAGATAAGCTAATACATTATTTGCGACGTGGGACGAACAAAACAAGAAATTGCAGCGACAGATGCGTCCTCTGTAGTGATGTTTGGGCTTGGCTTGGCTTCCCGGGGCTTTGGCTTGAGCAACTTCAAGCCAAAGCCAAAGCCCTGGGATAGGGCTTGGCTTGGCTTGGCTTTGGCTTAAGCCCCGGCTTGAACTGCAAATTTATAGATGCTGTATACTGCTGTACATGGTCAGTAAAATTATCAAATTGACCCATCTGACAAAGAAAATGCCTCCACACTCAGTCTTGCGTTGATAATTAGGATAGAATCACTCAAATGGTGAAGATCAAAGAAAAAAAGTTGATCCTCGTCCGACCTCATCGTTGAATTACTGAAGTAAACTGTGGTTCAAAGTAAGTTGAAGTTTACCAGTCGAAACTGGACAGAGTCTGACCTTTTAAATACACTTCCGTACCTTTGACAGATGGCCACAAGGAGGTGTGTATGCAGCGCTCAAAGCCACGGCTTGAAGCCCCGGCTTTGGCTTCGCCGACCTCAAGCCAAAGCCAAAGCCCTGTCCAAGCCCCGAGTACGGCTTGGCTTGGCTTGGTCAAGCCGGGGCTTTGGCTTCGGGGCTTCGGGGCTTAAAGCCAAGCCAAGCACATCACTAGTCCTGTGGACGTGTTGCAGGGTAGTGTGACGGGAAACATAGACATGAGAGTTTAGTTTTTGAGTCGAGTCGGTGGAAGTTTGGAGGCGGAAGAACGCACTTGGAGTCCAGCGAACATCGCGCAGCGCGCGAATCGCTGCTGGACGGTGAATGCGGCCGGTCTCTACTCCGTGCACCACCACCTCCTCCTCCTTCGCCAGGCACGGAAGCAGTCGCAGTCCGCCAGGGGGCAACACGGAAAAAGAGAAGGGTAGATTACGTGCCTGGATCTCGGTTAATTTTTTTGTTGCCGGGGATCTCGATGCATATGCATACACCAAGTCCGCAGCGCACGGACAGTTAGACTGGGGACGTATGTACCTAGCCTAGAAGAGCTGGCAGTGGCACGGGATACAGAACACTAAGCAAGCGATTGACAGTCATCTTGCACACGAGTTGCCCGGGCACCTACCGTGGTACGGAATGACACTCTGCTCATCATTGAATGACACGCTAACTTAATAACGCGTCCTCTTCCGTCGGGCTCGGGTCATGCATCTGAGCGGTGACGAGAATTGACGAAAAGTGCACAGAGCTTGGTTTGGAATTAGAGTTGGGTGCTTTACGTTCCGCGCAGAAAGAAAAGGGTGAGAGACAAAGCACTGGAAGCAATTTTTGGAGCAATAGATAGATAGCCTAGAAAGCGTCCGACTTCGAGGAAGGAAGAGGGGGAAGGAATAGCGAAATGCATTGTCGGCTTGTTTGGACAAAGGTAACAGGCGAATGCCTTGGGCTTGGAATAGATTTCTCTGACCTGTCTGATAGAGAGCTGACAGTGATACTACAGGGAGGAATGGCGAAATGCGCGCAGTAGATCTTGAAGGAGTCTAGGTGGAGCTGCCGGTTTCGCCTCTTGAATTTGGCGGAATATTTTCGTGGGCTCGGAATATCGATGCATCTTACGCGTAGGAGTGAGATCGTCGGCGCGTCCTCCATCTTCTTCGCGTGCTCTTGCCAGCGCGCATGGCCTTTTTTCTGATGTGCTTGGGATTGAGCAGCACAAACGAAATAAGGAATGTGGAATACTGTACGGTGTGGATGAGCCGCGCATCGTCCGCGCCGTTTCCATTTGCGGACAGTTCTGCGACTCGAGCCCGGGCGAAGAAAAGAAGATAGCGCCATGGCGGTGGCAAGCAAGAGGGACCGGCGATTCCCGAAGGCACGTGCCCTCCGTTGAAAAGAAAGAAAGAAGAAAGGGAATCAATTTGAATTGTAAGGCAAAGATCAACGTTCAACCATACACCTTGGTTTGGAGTCGAAGGCCGAAGACGGAGTGATTTTTTTTTCTCGGGACAGCAGCAAAAGTAGCACAAAAGAATGGTCGATATCTTTGAATGGCCTGCCCCGATTCGAACGGGGGACTCCTGCCGCGTATTTATACTTTCAATGGTAGGTAAAGCAGGTGTGTTACCACTACACCACCAGGCCGATATTAGCCACGAGGGTCAACGCACTGCACTCTTCAACGCAAAAAACATGTGAGTTCCTGCTGGGAAAACAAAAACGATACCACGCGGATACGGCTTGGCATATGAACGCTGAACTGACCGGAATTACCTTGGTGGGGACAGCGGGCATGTTACCGCACCACCATGTTCTCCCAGAACACGAATAACGTAGGAAGAAAATAAGACAGCAAAAAAAAGATGGGAAGCTAATCCCGATGGCCTGGCCCCGATTCGAATGGGAGACTCCCACCGAACTCTTGGAAACACACGTAATAGAAGCGGGTATGTTACCACTGCACCACCGTGCCATGCTCAAGCAATCAAGGGAGGTGAGCTGAGTGGGACGACAGTCGATGTTCGATTCTGTCGAGTCTGTTCGCATCACAAAAACAATGTTGGCCGTGCGTACACTGAGCCGGGTTGGACGCACGCACAACTCGCTTCCTTATCCATTTGGAACGGGCACTCGCGCTCGGAAGAACGAAGCCTACGCCCGAGTTGACTATCATAAATAAGAAGAGAAGGGGAGTGAAGTCATCGTAATATTGAGCGGTGGCCTCGAGATGAGATTCGAGAAGCCAGTCGGACCGGTATGAGAGGACACCGGGATAATTGCTCGGGTGGGTGGGCAACATCGATATGGAGCACACCATAGCCAGTCGAACGAAACGGGAATTTTAACACGGAACGACGACGACAGAAGTACTTAGGGTGGACCTCCCGGCGGTCAGTGCTGTGTTGGAGACGGAGTTGTTTTTGTCCGGCGAAAACCGGGGATACGGGCACAGGATAGAATGGAAGAGAATAAAGACCGGTAAGAGTTGGCTGCGTCGGAACGTAGGATTCGGACGGCGTCAATAGCAGTCGGACAGATCGTGGAGGCAGTTTCGGACGGCGCGAGGTTTGCGCGGGGGGTTCGCGAAGCAGCGCGGATAATTGTTGTCTCGCGAAGGCAGCAAAAAGTAACACAAAAAAAGGACAGCCGATATAAAATGGCCAACTCCTACCAAATCCTCATATTATGCGGCAAATAAAGTGGGCTACACCACCAGGCCGATATTGCCTTGAGGGTCAGCGCACCTAACACGACCCTCGAGGGAAGAGGAAGCCTGCGGCGCATGCAAGCGCGCACCCACCGCTCACACGGCGGGTACGCGCCATACAAGGCCTGCGGCGCCCGAAGGAAGAGGCAGCCTGCGGCGCAGACACGCGCGATGAGATGCCGATCCGTATCGTATACGTATCGGCCGGCGCACACGGATCTCGTCTCGGCCCACCTAAAGTCTTCTCGCTTGGTGCTTGGGACACCGGCACGCTCCCATCCCATCCCATCGAAGCGCAGATGGTTAGACTATTAGTGCTGCGGTACCTGAAGAGATGGGGGCAGCGAGGTGGCCGGGGACGTGGGCAGATGATGTCGGGAATTAGAGGTGCGGATACCGGCTCTGCCAAATAAATGCGACGGTAGATACTTAGATCGCGTCTGAGGGGGGCGAGGGTGCGCCTATGTTACGATGCTCCGCTGTCCTAGCATAGATTAGATTACGTGCTCGTCTGCCGGCGCACATGGATCTCGGTTAATTTTTTGAGTTGGGATCCCGCGTCCGAGTCCGAGCCCGAGTGCGCATCGAAGCGCAGAGGGTTAGACTGTGAGCGTTAGTGTTGTATCAAGGGCGGATACCTACAGACGGCAGGCACGAGATGCGGAACCAAACGAAACAAGACACAGAGCATCTTGCGGTCGGAAAGAAAATCTGGTACGGAATAGCAGCAGAGATCAGGACCGCCCGCATCTGGAGGCTCGTAGGACAAATGCCTGCGGCGCATACAAGCGCGGACCCACCGCTCATGCGGCGGGTACACGCCATACAAGGCCTGCGGCGCCCGGAGCGTCCTCGAGCGTCTAACGGCACTCTCACTCGGGCCGGCAAAACAAATGCAGCTTTTGGAGCGGTAGATAGATAAGATGGCCGTGGAGCGATGGTAGATAGAGGCGGGTGGAGTGGAGGTGGGTGGAGACCAAGGCAGTTTTTGGAGCGGTTGATCAGATGGGCGTGCGGGGGGGAAGGAACGGGGAATTTCAAGGGAGTACGGTGGATCATCGAATATCGACGCGTCGCGCTAAGAATATCACGCGCCGCTCGCTAGGTGGAGTGAGATCATCGATGCGTCATCATAAGCGTCGTCATTGGCGTGTCACTGTCAGTGCGCACATGCCTTGTTAACGTTTTTCGTTGCAGAGAAGAAGGTTGAACAGGGTAGAAGGAAGACGCGAAGGGATTAATGATCGCCCGCACCGCCACATTAACGCTCGTGCGACCAATTGCGATGTTGGTATTCTGTCGTCTTCCAAAAAATGATCAGCGACCTCTGAGCTGCGGTTGACGACGCCTGCGATTTATTTCCTAACCCCGAAACCCCGACCCGGGAAGCCCCGTGATGGTCGTCCCGCGTCACGTCACGTCACCAAATAACCCAATTCTAGGGACCAGAAATACGGGTCTGTTGACACAGCATATAGCAACCACATGCGAAAAAAAGGCTGATAATACAGCTCACGCCACACCACCTCCCTCTCCTCCTCCCCCCATAGGAAAGGAGATTTGAAAAGCAGATTGAAGAGGACCGAGCAGATCGCTTTTCGCCTCGTGTACCCCACGCCTGCCTGGACCCCGCATCTGGATCTGTACTCTAGCCTAGTCACATCTCCGACCCCGGACGGACGCATTGCTCGCTCGGACCGAGATGGAATTGGAGCAAGTCGAAGCTGCTGGAGAGGCGTGCCGGTCCCGTGAGCCCCTTTCACACCTTTTATTGCTTTTCTTCGGACCTCCACACCTCTACTGCTTTACCTCTCCTCGAAGAACACAACGTTGACCACCACCCCAGAACCACCCACCCCCGCGAGCCCGCGCAGAGACGCACCGAGGCAGCACAGACACACGCAGAGTCTCGGCCTGCTGTCGCCCATCCCGAGCCGCGGGAGCCTCAGGGAGGACGCGCGCGCCGACGAGCTCGCAGCCTCTGAATCTGAATCTGCGTGCTCCACGACGCCTTCAAGCACCACACCAGCACCCAGCACCCCGCGCCGCACCCGCCCCCGCACCTCCCTCCCCCCGCTCCCCGCGCTCCTCCTCTCCCTCTCCTCCCTCGGCGCCCTCTTCCCCATGTCGCGCCCCTCCTCGCCCACGGCCGCCCCCACCTCCACGGCGACAGCGGGCCACGGGATCGAACGCCCGCACACGCCCTCGCGCTCCGAGCAGCTGCTGCGCGACGCGCTGAGGCGCGGCTCCTCTGCGTCCGCCCCATACGCTGCGAGCACCCCGGGCCCCGTGCGCCCCCAGAGCCCCGCGGCCGCGTACGGCGGCGACGCAGAGGGCGGCTCGGCCCTCCACCCGTCCCCCATTGCCTTGACGCTGTCGCGCCTCGAGGGCCGCGTGGCGCCCCACAGGGAGGAGAGGGACCCGGAGCACGAGGCGCTGCGCGCGCGCCTCGAGCGCGTGTTGGCTGCCTCCTCGTCCCCGTCTTCTGGTGGGGGGAGTCGGCGGGCGAGCAGGAGTCAAGAACAACAACAGCAAGAACAACAAGGACAAGAAGAGCAGGTGTTCACGGCGAGCCCGCGCAGCTCGCTCGGCTCCGGCTCGGGGTCGGCGTCGGCGTCGAGCGAGTCGCGGGAGCGCGAACGGGAGCAGCAGCAACAACAACAAGAGCAACAACAGACGCGGTCTGCGACGCCGCAGGATCGCTCCGCGACGCCGCGCCCGCGCCCGCGCACGCCGACGCCGCGCAGGCGCGCGGGGACGGGGACGGGGGATGAGGTGCGTCTCTTCGTGCTCTCCCCGTACCGTACCGGACGCTGACCGCTAACTGTTTTTCGTTTGCAGAGTACACAGAGCCCGCACGCGTCCCCGCGCCGCGCGTCGTTTGCGCTGCGTTTGGAGGGGGTGCGTTATTTTCTTTCTTTCTGTTTTTCGGGGATGGTGGGTGGGGGAGGCGGCGGGACGCGTTCCGAAGGAACGGCGGTGGGAAGCGTTCCGAAGGAACGCGTGGAACGCGCGTCTGCGCCGCAGGCTGCCTCTTCCTTCGGGCGGGGATGGTGGGTGGGGGAGGCGGCGGGACGCGTTCCGAAGGAACGGCGGTGGGAAGCGTTCCGAAGGAACGTTGTCTGCGCCGCAGGCTGCCTCTTCCTTCGGGCGCCGCAGGCTGTCTCTTCCTTCGGGGGTCGGGGATGGGGGGTGGGGGCGGCGGTGGGAAGCGTTCCGAAGGAACGCGTGTCTGCGCCGCAGGCTGCCTCTTCCTTCGGGCGCCGCAGGCTTCCTCTTCCTTCGGGCGCCGCAGGCCTTGGATGGCGCGAGCCCGCCGCGTGTGCGAGAGCGCCGTCAGGCGCACTTGCTGGGCGAGGCCGCGGAGGACAACGCATTGCTTACCATCCGAGCACGGGCGCGGCGCGTGCTTGCGCTTCGAGGGCGCATCCCGGCTCTCCGTCTGGATGGCGGGAGATGAGGTGGTGTGTTTGTGTTTGTGTTTTTGCGGTCCTTGCGGGGCGGTGTGCGCTGGTCTTGGTGCACGGAGCGGGCTTGGCGGGATGCGGGGCTCGGCCCGTCGTGGCCCGTGAGTGCCTTGGACTGGTGTGCGGGAGGGACGAGGGACGAGGGACGCGGGTGCTGTGGGATGGGATGGGACGGGGATGCTGTGCGATGGCGTCGCGCCTTTCCGTTCCGTTCCTTCGTTCGTGCGAGGGCTTGTCTCTGTGCGGGGCGGGAGTGTAGGCGGGGCGCGTCCCATGCTATCCTATCCTCCTTCTCCGCTTCGTGCGGCGGCGGCACATTCGTGTAGCGCGTCTCGTCCGGCTCGTCCCGGAATGCCCGTCTTGATTCTATTCCTGCTCTATTCTATTCGACGCGCCTTGTACCGCTCGCTGACCGCCTTCCCTTCCTTTTTTTCGTTTGCAGAGCACACAGAGCACACAGAGTGCACGGAGCCCGCACGCGTCCCCGCGCCGCGCGTCGTTTGCGCCTCATCTGGACGGGGTGCGTTATTTTCTTTTTCGTTCTTCGTTTCGCTTGGTTCTGCCGTGTCGTTTTTGGGGGGGCGGAGAGTGCACGGGCGCGGCATTGGATCTGTCCGTCCTCCCCTCCCTATTTGTGGGCGCGTGTGGGCGCATTTCGGCCTGTTTTGGTCGTTTTCCTATTTGCCCTCTTTTTTCGGGCGATGGTCGGCGCATCCCCGTATCTCTCCATCTGTATGGCAGGAGATGGCCGCGATGCAATTGTGTTTTTACTATCTTTTCGTCGCGGATCGACGGTTT